ATTGGGTTGTTTATTTGAAGCCTTTCTATTTTTTTGATGTAAGCATTTATTGCAATAAACTTCCCTCTTAGTACTGTTTTTGCAGCATCCCATAGATTTTGGTATCATGCGGCTTTATTTTCATTATTTTATTTTTAAATTACTTTATTTTATTTTATTTTATTTTATTTTATTTTATTTATTTATTTATTTTTTATAGAAGATGACCGGTAAGGGGATCTCAACCCTTGGCTTGGTGTTGTCAGCACCACGCTCAGCCAGTGAGCAAACCGGCCATCCCTATATAGGATCCGAACCCGTGGCCTTGGTGTTATCAGCACCGCACTCTACCGAGTGAGCCACGGGCCGGCCCATTTTCATTAGTTTCAAGAAATTTCCTGATTTCCTGTTTAATTTCTTCTCGGACCCATAGGTCATTCAGGAGCATGTTCTTTAATTTCCATGCATTTTTATAGTTTCCAGGGTTTCACTTTTTATTGATTTCCAGTTTTAATGCATTATGGTCTGAAAATAAACTTGAAATGATTTCAATATTTTTTTTTCTTTTTTATAATTTATTTTATTTATTGAATCAAAATTGATTATACATATTTTTGGGTTCAACATTTAGATATGTTGATCAAATCAATATTTCTAGCATATATATTGTTACAAATCATAATTATTCTTTATGCCCCTTGTCCAATCTCTCCCCATCCCCCTCTCCCTTCCCCTCCCCACTCTAATTACCCTAGGTTTCTTCTCCTTCTGAAAGAATAATGGTTACTCTGTTGATTTCTTGCCTACATGATCTGTCCAATGGTGAGAGGTGTGATCAGGTCCCCCAATATTATCATAGAGCAGATGCTTCTTCTGTCACTCTGAAATGGGCTTTGTGGAGAGAGACATCCTCTTCTTTTATTTATATCTGCTGGTGACTCTCCTTGTGTCAATGCACTCTGATAGTTGGGGACCATCTACATGCTGGTTGTGGCATCTAGCCACTTTCACAGCATCCATGGCAATTGTGGTGGCTGTGATGGGCCAGCTACGTGGAGGTGATGTTTTTAGCATGCTCCTTTGCACTGGTGGTATGCCTGGTTGTGGGGTGTGTCTGGTCCCTGGATCCATGCCTTGGGTCCCCAGGCAGGCCCCAGGGCACTGGTGCAGTGTGTCTGGTTGTGGGAAGTGGGTCTGGTCCCCCAGCCAGGGCCACGAAGCACTGGCAGTGTGCTTGATTGTGAGAGGGGGGTCAGGCGCTCAGCTCCAAGCCTCAGGTCTCCAGGTAGGCCCCGAGGTGCTGGCGTGGTGGGCCTGGTTGTGGGAGGGGTGTCCGGTCCCCTTCTCCAAGCCTCGGGTCCCCGGGCAGGCCCTGAGGCTGGTGCAGTGTGCCTGGTTGTGGGAGTGCAGTCAAGTCCTCTTCTGCATGCCCTGGGTCACCAGATGGGCCCTGAGGTGTTGGCATGGTGTACCTGGTTGTGGGAGGGGGTTGCCATCCCCTTCTCCATGCCTTAGGTCCCTGGGTGGGCCCTGAGGCGCCGGCATAGTGTGCTTGGTTGTGGGAGAGGATATGGTCCCTGGCTCCATACTGGGCAGGGCCCCAAGGCACTGGTGGTGTGCCTGGATGTGGGAGAGAGGTCCGGGCACCATCTCAATGCCTTAGGTCTCCGGGTGGGCCCCAAGGTGCTGGTGCGGTGTACCTGGTTGTGGGAGGGGGGTCCAGTCCCCTTCTCCATGCCTTGGGTCATGGGCAGGCCTGGAGGTGCTGGCATGATGTGCCTGGATATGGGAGTGGAGTCTGGTCCTCAGCTCCAAGCCTCTGGTTCCCAGGCAGGCCCCAAGGCACTGGTGGTGTATGTGGGCTGGAACTAGGTTTTTGCTTACTTCTAAAATGGTGAAACTTCCTGTGGGAAACAGTACTTGAGCTGTGTGGTCAAGCTAAATTGCTGCTTTGCTGCTGTTTCCTTAGGGAAGGCTTTTTGTGCAGCTCCGGGTTTAATAGTTGACCTTATAGGTACTTCTGGCTCTCCAGAGACCCTGTGGATCTGGGTTGTGTAGAAACTCTGATCCAGGCCTGAGTTTTTTCATCAAACTGCATGCCATGCAATTCTGCATTCCTGACCAGTCTCCTCTGAGTGGTCCTGTGCTGATTGGGAGGTGGGTCGGCTGTGCTTGCTGTGTCCCAGTGTTCTCCCAGTGGGCCCATCTCCCCCACTGCCCATGCTCCAAACACTTCCCATGGGCCCTGTTCCAGTCCCTTGCATTGACTCACCGGCCTCTGAATGGCTCCCTTTTTTCAGTTGTTCTGGCTCCTTGCTCCAGCATGGGTCCACAGGAACCCTATTAGTGGTTTTGGTGTCTTGGGGGCCACCAAGGCCCTCTTCTCCCCTGCTGCCTCTAAGTAACTCCATTTGAAGGGCACAGCTGTGGCTTCTGCTGGCTCCTGTTCCATGTACTCTGCAGTTCCAGCATTAAAGTGGCTGTGGCCCAAAGCGCTCAGAGCAGTTTTTTCTTTCTCTTATTGTGGTTTCTCCCAGCTCTATGAACTTTGTAGGTCTCTCCACCTCTTCCCCTGAGCTCCAGCAGCCCCCGCTTGGCTGATATTACATTTTTGTAGTTGTAAATTGGCTGATTTGTAGTAGAGAGTGACGCTGGGAACTGTCTATTCCGCCATCTTGATCAGGACTCCTGATTTCAATTTTAAAAAAATTTATTGAGACTTGATTTGTGACCTAACATGTTGTCTATCCTGGAGAATGTTCCACATGCAGAGAATATATTCTGTAGTCGTTGGATGAAATGTTCTGTAGATATCTGCCAAGTCCAATTGGTCTAGAGTGTAGTTTTAATCCTGTGTTTCTCTGTTGACTTGTTGCCTAAATTATCTGTCCAATGTTAACAGAGTGGTGTTGAGGTCTCCAACTATTATTATATCAGGGTCTGTCTCTTTTTTTAGGTTTAATAGTGTTTGCTTTACGTATCTGGGTTCTCTGATGTTGCATGCATATATATTTATGATTGTTATGTCCTCTTGCTGTTTAGATCTCTTTATCATTATATGATGACCTTCTTTGTCTCTTTTTACAGTTTTTGGTTTAAAGTCTATTTTATCCAATATGAAAATAGCTACTTTTGCTCATTTTTCATTTCCATTTGCATGGCATATAGTTTTCCATCCCTTCACTATCAGTCTGTGTCAGTCTTTACAGGTAAGGTGAGTTTCTTGTAGGTAGCATATAGCTGTGTTCCTGGGGGGTGGGATTAGGACCTTAGGTTTTGAGGGGGTAATGGGGCGCTCAGCAGCCCCTCAACCAGTGTGGATGACTCAATAGTGTCACTGGGACTCTGGGCAGAGCCCTATACCCCTACAGGAGGCATTGGGGTACTCTGTGGCTTTGCTGTTGAAGTGTGTAACACTGAGTAGGGTCACTGGATTTTTGTATGAGGACCTGTACTCTCATGAGGGACACTGGGGTAGTCTACAGCCCATTGTTGAAGTGGGACACTCTGGGAGAGGTGTTAGCAGTTTTAGGTGGGTCCCTTCACCTCCAAGAGGGACACTGGAGTTCTCTATAACTGTGCAGCTGAAGTGGCCACTCAGGGTGAGGCTGCTGCAGCTGTAAACAGATGCCTGTGACCCTAAGAGTGTTATTGGGACACTCTGGATCTCCTCAGCTAGGGTGGGCTGCCCCTCATGAGATTGCTGGGGCTATGGGCTGGCTGCTGTACCCCAAGGGAGATGCTGGATCTCTCTGAAGCCACCTTTGCTGGGGTGGGCAGCAGCCTTGGGCAGGCTCGCTGGTGCTGCAGGTGTGTGTCTGTGCCTGAGAGAGGTGTACAAGTCTTCCACTGCCTCTTCATGGCTGCATGAATTGCAAGGGTGCCTCACTGAAGGAGGGGTTTCCAGCAATAGCCAGGAGCCCTGATTAGGAGGTTTTCTGACTCTGTAAAGTGTGTGAACTGGCCCACTCCATCTTGAGTGTGTTACCCTCACTGCACTGGACTGCCTGTTCCCAGGGCATAGGACATCGCATGGACATGGGTGGAGGCATCCTGGTGCAATGATGTGGCCACAGGGGAGTGAAACTGCTGCTGGGGCCAGAGCGAAATGGTCTTGGGTGTTGGGGCCCATTTCAAATCTGCAACTACTACAGTAGCTTGGGGCCTGGGGGTGGGGGGTGGTTTCACATGGGTCCCTCCCCAGGTCAATTCAGTCATGCGTGCTGCCAGGAGTTCCCAATAGTAGGCACATGATTGCAGAGGCCACCCCTGAGAGAGGTGTATGGGTTCCCCTTCCCTTCCTCATGGCTATAAGTATTGTATGGGCATCTCGCCAATGTGGGTGGGGTCACTGTCTGTGGGAAATGGACATGAATAAGCTGCTTTCTGGGTCTGGATGGTGAGCACACCAACCCCCTCCATTCTGAGCATGGCACCCTTGCTGCATTGGAGCATCCATTCATTCCCAGGGCACAGGGCCAAAACCAAATTGAAGTGTTGGGACCCATCCCTGTCACAAGCTTGCCACAGCAGTCTGGGACCCAGGGGTTGGGGACGACTCCGCATGTGTCCCTCCCAGGCCAATGCAGCCGTGCATACCCACAGTAGTTCCTGACACCAAGCATAGAGCTGCAAGGGCAGTGCAGACTCCCCTGTGGGTTGAACCACCGGTCCACTCACCTTCTCACAGTCAGAAACTCCTCCTAAATCATCACCACTCCAGGTTGGGGGATGGGATGGTGGTGACTAAGAATTTTCTTCCATGGCTCTTGGAAACCACATTAACTTTTGAAAATTTTTTTTAATTGAAATAAAAAAGGATACAAAATGGGAAGGAAAATATTCTACAGTTTTGTTATTAAAGGAATCTTGATTTATTTGTCATATTGCGATTCACAGACACTTCAATTATTGTGTTTTTCTATCTTTAATATCAGTTTTTGATAGCATTTTAGGACCACTGAATTTTGTTTTTCTGTGAGACCTCGGAAGTTAAAGTGGCTCAATCTTTTCCTTTATAGAATGAAGTCTTTTTTTCTCACATTTTACATATCCTCAAAGAAGATCACGCCCTGGTGTCTAGAGCTGTGTCCATGAAGATGGAAAATTTCACAGAAACAAGTGAAATAAGAGAACTCTTTGACTTATATACTTATAACAAGGTAAAGGCAATCATATATTTCTTTTTGTTCTGTACTCTTGCAGCAAGTTGAATATAATGGATTCTAAGGATTGTAGATTACTATGGAAGTTAAAACTTTTGATATAGATAACCTTAATTTTATTCAATAGAATAAAATGGGTTTCAGAATTAATTCTCATCTAGCAAATATTAATCAAGCCATATTAAACACATTGTACCACCTACCATTATAAATAGACTTAAACAACTTGCTACTTTTAAGGCAAACCCTCTTATTTGGTGGAAATTTATTCTTGCCCTGTAAATATCTAAATTAAAAAAAATTTTATGTACCCTTGAACTCTTTGTATGAAGAACATTTCTTCATCCTTTACCTATTACTCAGTCTATTTTGTTAGCATATTTTGGGATAATTCAGATATTCAACTCAAAGTGTAAAATGCAATAGGGAGCACAGCCCCGAATATTGCTTATGAAAATGGAATGTGAAAGTATGTAGATATTGAATTTTGTTTAAATAATGGACAGCTTCCTGTATCCTAGGGAGCTTCGATGGCCCGAATGCTTGCTAGTTTCTTGAATGAGCATTTATTTATCAGCGCACTAAAGGTGAGTTTACAAAATAGTTGTTACCTGCATGGCAGTAAAAATAAATTGCATTGGCGTGTTATTTATTTTAACCCTAACTTTTCTGTTTTTACAGTCATATTTGGAGACATTTTCTTACTCAAATGCTGAGCAGGATGATCTATGGAGGCATTTTCAAATGGTAATCTTTCTACTTTTAGACATGTTCTTGCTAAGTTGTTTTGTATGAAACAGTGCAACAAGATCGGAAGGCCATGGGTAAATGGCAGTTCCACAGGAAAACAATTTTGCCTTGTTTGTGAAACTCTCTTAGGTCAGAGGTTGTGTCTTTAGTCTTTACTGTATTCCCAGTGCTCAGAACAGAGCCTGATTCGTAAGCATTTGTTCAGTGAATGACCTAAGGAAACATTCATTTATAGAGATAAGCAGAGTTCTGAAATTGACACAAAATAACACCCACTGGGGATTAGTACATAAGTGAGTGATACCTGGTTTCTTTTAGGAGATTGCTGCTTCAGAACGTTTTACTGATAACCATATCTGCTTTTGTGATCATTTTTTAAAAATAGGCCATAGACGACCAGAGTAAAATTCTTCTGCCAGCAACAGTAAAAGGCATAATGGACAGCTGGACACACCAGAATGGTTTTCCAGTTATCAATTTAAATGTATCTACTGGTGACATGACACAGGAGCCATTTTATCTTGAAAAGGTTAAAAATCAGACTCTTCTAACTCACAAGTAGGTAGCTTTGTTCCTCTTTGCTTACACCTTCCTTGAGGTTGAGCTCTGGTCAATGGAAACCAGCCCACAGGTGAGGAAGCATAGCCCCTGCTGGGCCCACACCTTTCTGCAAAGTGACTCCACAAGAGATGTCACTGCGCACTGGGATGAGGCAGAGCCCCTGAGTCCTGAGCAAGGCCAGAGACCTGCAGTTGGGGGGGATTCAAGGAAGTGCCCCTCCCCTGGGATTTAGGGGCACACCAGGAACCACAGCTTAGGGTGTTGCTTATCCTATTTGCCTTCATATAGAGGTAGAATGACTTGGGGTTCTGGGTGAGAGACGATAAGATAGAGCCACAGGCGGCCACCTGTTCGTTAAGAGAAAAGGGGATCCTGTTGCAATGTGGTCTTCTCTTCCCTAAAAACTGAACTGAATGGTAACTATGACCTTGAGGAATAGTGCTGTGTGTGTGTGGGCATGTATATGTATGTGTGTGCATGTGTGTATTTGTAGCCGTACCTACAACATTAAAAGTATGGCCTGTAGATTCAGTTAGACCTGGGTTCAAATATTGACCTTACCAAATGCAAACCTCAGGTTAAGTCTTATTTAAATTCTCTGAGTTTCAGTTGCTTTATCTATAAAAATAAGTGTGATAGCATGAATCCCAGGGGGTTGTTGTGAAAATGAAACAATGAGTATAAGGTAGCCTACCATTCACCACTTTCTCTTTCCCTTTCATTTGTTAATTTTCAACTGTTTTTGATAGTTTTCATCCTCAGATCTCATTGTAGTAAATATCAGCACAAATGAGTAATTAATTTTCAAATACTGTCACCAAAATGTTTAGGTAGTCCTGCTCTTTCTTTAAAATCTCAGGGGACAGAAACAGGAGGCCCAAAGGTTTCTTCTCACTGGAATATTCTGTGACTTTTGAGAAGAGGTGTGAGTCTTAGCTTTGCAGATATACACAGACCCACAGTTGAAAGTTTGAAAAACCAGGCCTGTGAGAATTTGAGCAACATTGCAAATATTGCCCAAACTCCAAGTAGTATGTCTCTTCAAATGACTCATGTGCTCCGTGTGGCTGGCTGTTTCATTCAGGTCACGTCTGCCAGTGTGGAAGAATGTAGGCATTCAATAAATATAAATGCTCTGCCTGATTCCTGTTGAACACTTTTCAGATGGGGAGAAAGCTTAAGGCTGAAAAGTATTTTTAAATGTTTGTCAAGGTTTTTCTTTTTAAATTACTCATCATCTCTCTGGGCACGGACAGATTTGGATCTGTCTGCAACATTTGAACTACCCTTGAGTGAGGCCAGGTGGCTATAATTGAACATAGACAGGCCTTGAAGGTTTCAGATACAAGACAGACTTAGTAGCTACCTAAGTTATATGAAGAAGTAAACCCATAAGATACAAAAAAAGAAGCAAACAAACAGCTCAAGCAAAACTGTAAAAACAACAGCAAACAATCCTAATAGCAAAGACCTGCATATTCAGCGAGAATGACCAAAGAACTCAAATTCTGTATGCTATTATATCATCAATTTATCATTGGCTCAGAGTGTACATTGTTATGTGTGAAAATTAACTAATTTTAAAATTTTCTTCCAATAAGTGGCACATGGATTGTACCTGTTCTTTGGATAAAAAATGGAACTACACAATCTTTAGTCTGGCTAGATAAAAGCAGCAGTAAGTAACAAATTTTTTAAACATCTTTACATATATACAGATATAAAGGTAGAGAATAAAATGTTGAATTGTTTAGCTGCTACCTCATTTAATACTAAAATATGTCATTCTCATTGACCATAGGGCTTTAAACAAAAGTTTCAAGTCAAAATCCATTATATGAAAAAAATATATATTTATATGGTAAGATCAATGTATATTTTAGAATTCCTTTAATTCTTTGTTTTATTTGGTTTATTGAGTATGCAGTATAAGTATGTATTGAAATCTTTTTTAAATATACCATTTCAAACTATTCCTATATTTCTTTGTAGAAGTATTCCCTGAAATGCAAGTTTCAGATTCTGATAATGACTGGGTGATTTTAAATTTGAATATGACTGGATATTACAGAGTTAATTATGATAAATTGGGTTGGAAGAAATTAAATCAACAGCTTGAAAAGGATCCTAAGGTAAGGTTATTTTTGATACTTTTAATTAAATATCATTAATAATGCACTCTGTAGCCTTTTAGAAGTTGAGCTTTCTGGGGAGAAGAGACTCCACCCTCACCCCCACGCATGATGGACAGAGACTTTTTTCTATTCTTAGAAAGGGGAAATTTTGGTTGAATGTGTTGTTGTTTTGAACATTCATCTCGCTTTTCCAAAATAATTTTTCTTTTCCAGATAGGAATCAGAATACATTTTCCCATTAATCACTGGTTTTGTGATCTTTGGCAAGGTATTTACATGTTCTGGTTCCATTTCTTCACTTTAGAATGGGAATGTTATCATATCTTATTTATCAGGAGGATTAGACATGATGTAGGTAAACAATACTTAAAATTCCTAAGCCTATAATAGATACCCAGTATATGCCAGGAAATATTGATTTTACTGCTAAAAACATATTCCCACTCTCTCAGAGGAGAGAATATAATTCACAAAATATCAATAATAATCCATTATCATTTTGAATGATAAAACAACTATAAATCATTATGCAGTGTATAAACATCAAAATGTTGGCCAGCTCTAATCAATTGTTTTAATTGGCTGAATTAAAGCAAGTCTCTGTAGGTGGAGATGGATGCTGGCTTAGGAGTCTATACAGTTGGCTCTGCTGTGATGTGCTGTGCTGTGAACCCTTGGGACATTCACTTAGACTCCATTCATAGAACTGAAGTGTTGAACTAAAAGGTATCTTAAGTGTCTTTCTGTTGGAAAGTTCTCTGAGACACACAGCAGCCTCCCTGACAGAGAAGGCAGTACCGCATATTGGCCCAGAGCTTGGGTTCGGTCAGGTAGATTTGTGTTCATATTTTCTTCATTGTTTACTGGAAGTGTGATCTTGGGCCCGTCATTTGACCAGTTATGCCTCCATTTCCTTATCTGTATAATGGGTGTAAAAGACCAACCTTAAAGGGTTGTTGTGAAGATTAAATAAAGTAATACGTATATTATATTTAGCCTCTGCCTGATACAATTCAGGCACTCAGAACATGTTCAGTAATTTTAAAAAATTATTACTGGGATTTTGAATAAAGTTTCAAAACCTACTTATAATAATATTTTCTTTTCAAATATTTTTCACAGTGGCTAAATTCTTATCAATTTCTAAGATCACTCTAAGCCATGGAAGTACTAGGTAGTGATTTCTTGAAACCATTGTAGATTTACTTGTAAATTATTTCTAAAACATAATTGGTGAGCTAATAAAATAGAATTTTTATTATTAATGTTAACCTAGAAAATGTTGTGTTATTACTGACAGAAAAGAAATGAGACTGCTAAGGGAAGAATTCAGCTTGGCTAGCTTAGGTGCACAAAAGGATGTTGTGAAGATAAAGTTTCTAGGACCAAAAATGTACAAGTGCTGCGAGGTGTTGAAGGAGGCTTTGGGCATCCTCAGGGGACTGAAACTGAGATCAGAGTCCTGTGGCCTGGAAGTGCCAAGAAAATCAAACAAAAGCTTAAAGAATTAGGTTAGCAATTGGCCCTTGCACTTCCGTGGATATGAGGGGCTCAGTTGGTGGTACTGTGTCACATTAGTAAAATCTTCAGAAGACAGATATCATTTGCAAGAGTACCTGAATATTACTAAAGTAATGACAAATTTATCTAAGGCTTCCTATGCCAAAAATTCCCCTGAAAATAATTTCACATTGTAAGATAATTTAATATATACTTTCTGTTTTGGAAAGGGCTTTTAAATTTGGTTGCCTGTTTTGTTTGTTTGTTTGTTTGTTTGTTTTTGGCAGCTAGCTGGTATGGGAATCTGAATCCTTGACCTTGGTGTTATCAGCACCACACTCTACTGAGTGAGCTAAGCGGCCAGCCCTTGTTTTTAAACATAGTGTGTTTCAGGGAGTATTTTGGCAAAACTCTTTGCCATATTTAAGCCTTATGTTTGATGTACAGAGGGATCATTTATTAAAAACAGATGTATAATGAATAAATTATGAAGACTATTCTTAGAAATTATCATTTCTCTGCAGCTGAGACAATTCATGTGAAAGTGTTTCGTAGGCAATATTGATCTTTAGATTGTTGTTATTACTTCGAAAATATTTTGCTAAAAAATGTTCTCATCTTTTCCTGCACATATCTGGATCTAATTCTGCAGGCTATTCCTGTTATTCACAGACTGCAATTGATTGATGATGCCTTTTTCTTGTCTAAGTGAGTATATTTCTTTTCTCATGGTTTTAGAGTGTACCTGAAGAAGTTTATAAAAATAAAATCCTCATCACTATGAAGTTCGTTCCTTATTACATACAGGCCCTAATTGATTAAGATTAGGATTAAATTCTGTGGTCATAGTGGAATTTTATAACATAAAGTCTTGCTGGAAATAAACAATCAATTGTGATTTTGAAGTGATTTCTGTTACTCAAGGGTGATAGCTGTAGGTAAAATTTTAAAGAAATCTGACCTGTATTTTAATATATTGAAGAATTATTGATTTTATTTCTATTAGATTTACTTTATGTAAGCTATGCTGCTAAGCATTTAACCATATAAACTGTGTTCAGAATTTAAGTTTTCAGGCAATAAAATTAAGGAGGATATATATGTGAAATTATCTAGTGTGTTCTCTTTCTTTGGCCTGTCATATTTCTTGAATAAATGTCTGCTTATTTTGTCTTTAATTTCTTTCCTACTTTTTCCCTCTGTGACCTGCAGTACATTTCCTTGCCTAATACTTTGCTGAAACTCATGTCTAGGACCACCATGACCATTTTGGCTTCCTTTTTGGCTTTCTGAGACTCTGATATGCAAACCTCATTCTCTTCATATATCTGACTTCTTCCTACTGCTGTGAGCATCCTTAAAACCAGTAATGGTTTTGTTATTTTCTTCTATCTTCCCTTTGGATAATTCATTCATTCTTTGATTTCTGTGACCATTTTATTATGTATCTTTACAGTGCCCAGCAGATATAGGTGCTTAATAAATGTTTGCAGAAAGATATGGTGATGACTTCTAAATCTGCATCTCTATTTGTCTTTCCTCCTGTGTATGTTTATCCTCTGGTCATTTAAATTTATTACCTTAAACACTGAATGTTATTTCTGTCTCTAAATTGCTTTTGCTATCAATTTCTCTCTCTGAGAGAGAAGTACCACCTTTCAAAAGTACCACCGTTCTTCCCATCACCCAACCCTGAAACCTCAGAGGTATGCTTGACTCCTCCCCTCTCTCGTCTCCCATGCTCAGCCAGTCACCGTGTCTTATAGATTCATTCTTGATAATGTCTTTTGGATTCTCACCTTGTTTACTTCCTTCACTGCTTCCACATGGAGCCAAGCTTTCATCTTTTGCCTGGCCTCTTACCTTAGCCGTCAGCCTTTAGTCTTTTTGAATTTCAATTCGTCTTCTTCAGCACTATTGCAATAAAATTTTTAGGCATCAGTTTCATCATGTTGCCCCAGTTGTTTAAATACCTAGAGTGCCTTCCTACCAAATCTAGCCTCTTCATCTTTGCATTCAAGGGTTTCCACAGGGTTGAGCCATCTTACTCCTTAGCCCCTCTCTCACTATACACAAAAGAAATCCCCTGCCTCTGTTAGCTCGGTCTGCCCATGACACTAATTCCCACTTTATCTTCTTTGTCCTGGGCTGCCTTCCTCTTTCTCTCCCTCAGTGCTCTTCTCAAGTTTCACCTCCATGAGGCCTTCCCTGACTTTTCCATATTTTTCCTGACTTTTCCATGTGTGTATTTTCCTCCTTTGTTAATTTATTATATTCATTGCCTTTTCTGGGACCTTTCATTAGCAGCTTCTTATGCATAAGTCTCGGCTCCTCACTGAAGCTCCTGAATGGTAGGCAAGTGTAGAGTCATATGCTCTAGTTTGTGTGCTCTAGTTTGTGTGACAGAGCATTTGATAGGAAATGTCTTTTAATTAATACTTGTGGAATGGAAACGATACTCATAAGAATGCATGCTGAATGCACAAATATTCTATTGCCCAATAATCAGTCCAACATTTGGCCTGAATTTTTCTGGCCTTCAAGAATTTGGGCACTCGAATGTACCAAATTGAAATGGAAAATCTTTCAACATTTCTTGGGCTCCTTTTCAATAAGATGAGACCTTTACTCTCTAGCTTCTTGATTTATTCACATACCTTATTAAAGCCAGGCACTGAAGCATGGAACAAATATGGAAAGTGTGCAAATCATTTAGCGAGTGAAGGTTTTTTGAGTGTGTGTGTGTTTTTAAACCAAACAGAAACAATTATATTGAGATTGAAACAGCACTTGATTTAACCAAGTACCTTGCTGAAGAAGATGAAATCATAGTATGGCATGCAGTCTTGGTAAACTTGGTAACCAGGGAACTTGTTTCTGATGTGAACAACTATGATATATACACATTATTAAAGGTAATTTCATTCTTTATGTAGTTTTAAAATAAATCCTCTCTTCCTCTTCCCATATTCTAGCTGGCATCTGTGAGACAGATCTTTCCCAAAGTAATAGTCTGTTAGATCCATATATGTAAATATTCATTTTCTTAGCAATAGCTGGTTACTCTTAGAAGAAGATGTCTTAGTCATAGACCTGATCTAGGAGATGAGTATTAAGAAAAGTGTGGAAGGGAGACTTCATTCTTGGTGAAGTGACAATATGTCCTAAGAAACCATAAGTGGATGGAAATGGCATGCCTTTTCTTATAGTTTCTATTAGCAACTGTTTCCCTAGGAGATTGTTGCCAAAAAGAATGACTTTTAACAACCCTATGTTCATAATTGCAATATTCTGATCTATAGGGCTAGCACTTAAAGCCCAAGAGATATATTACAGAAGTAGTAAAAGTTTTTTTTTTTTTTTTTTAAAGATGACCAGTAAGGGGATCTTAACCCTTGACTTGGTGTTATCAGCACCACACTCTCCCAAGTGAGCCACAGGCCGGCCCCTGGAAGTAGTAAAAGTTTTTTTTTTTTTTTTTCCTTTTTGTTTTTTTTTTACTGACCAGTAAGGGGATCTTAACCCTTGACTTGGTGTTATCAGCACCACACTCTCCCAAGTGAGCCACAGGCCGGCCCCTGGAAGTAGTAAAAGTTTTGAAGCTGCTTTTGGTGTTAGGAAGAGAAAAAGGGAAATTAGAATTTATAAATGAAGAAATGACATGCCATCACAAATAAAAAAATATAAAAGGGCAAAAGTTCAAGAAAGATGGCAAGGTAAAATCAAAGCGAAAATTCGGGAGCACCCTTTGGACAGTTGGGGCCACCTACAAATCAGAAAGTGTGTTAGGTGATGATTTCAAGTGAGTTTCTGGGTCATTCTAAGTGTGAGATCACAAACACCTCAGGCTTCTAGGCTTTCTTTTTTCTAGTATTCAAAGTACCAATGGAAACTTAGTTGAGTGTAGGGATGGTGACCAACAGAAGGCACTTAAATGTTTGTGGGATTGCGTTGGCTCATTGATAACATCTGATGACTGGTTCTGAGTAAAGAAGTAAAAATTAATATTTGTTTTTATAGAATTTGAATGAATAGCATCTAATTCGTTCTTAGGGATGTATTAGTAAATGTCCAACTTTTATAATCTTATATTTACCAGCTGATAGCTCAGTTGGAGAAACTTTGTTTCAGTCTCAGGGCTTTAATTTGTCCAGGGCATAAACCAGTTCTCCTTTTTTGGAGGTATTTATACTTAGCATGGAAATTTTAAGGTAGAAATGTTGTTTTATATTTTTACCTTTTTTCTCTATTTTGAAGACAATTGGAAATGTTTGGGGCTATATTAAATAATGTGCTGGGCAGTGTGCTTACATACATTTTATTATTTAATCTTCACAATAACACTATAAGATTGGGATTATTGTAAACCACATTTTATGTATGAGGAAACTGAACCTAGGGTTGTTAAGTATAAACCAATTACACATTTAGTAACAAATAAAGTTACTTTATGAGGAAATATCTGTCACTTTGTTAATGTCTTTTCAGAGAAATAGAAATACAGTGAAAATTCAGTGTTGTGAGTCAGAACTAACAGTATATTTTCTTTGTTGTTTATAGAAATATCTCTTAAAGAGACTTAAATCAATATGGGATATTTATTCAACTATAATTCGTGAAAATGTGGCGGCATTGCAAGATAACTATTTAGCTCTGTAAGTATTTCTTTTAAGCAGTGATAACTAGAGTAAAATGATTCCTATTAATAGACAGGATTTCAGATTCACAAAATAAAAATCTTAGTATCTATTATCCACTGTGATATTTTGTATGCTATTTGAGAACAATAGCTCTAGGGTTAGTAAGCTACATGTATACATAGGAAATAATAGTTTGGGATCTTGATTTACCTGTAAAGCACATGCATATACACACAGAAGTTTACAGTTCTATTTTCTCAAAGCTTTAGGCTACTGGTGGAAGTTGAAAGTGTGCTGTACTATTGGTGAAGGGTTGTACTAAGGAAAGCTAACCTATGCTAGTAAGATGAAGGGCATGAAAAGATCACAGGGGGGAGGACCTACCATTATGCAGATAAGATGAGGTAGGTTGACAGTAACATATATCGGTCATTTGTGTATGAGCGTTAGTAAGTATTGCAAATGATTTTTACATCACTGGTTTGGTGAAGGAAGTGAGCACGTTGTCATGAAGGTCTGAAAAGGAAGGGAAAGGCAAGATGGGGCTGTGGTGCCTCTAGCCTCCTGGTGACCCGAGCTTTATATGTGCACGCCAGGCTTCTAGATTTAGGGAGGGAATTTGTAGCCAACAACAATACAGGGATTATATCTACAACTTCTAGTTAACATCAAGCTCAAATCAACTAGATCAAGCAAGAAATAGAAAATATACAAAATGTGATTATTTTCTCTCAATAGTACCCTTCTGAGAGGGTAGCAATTTGAGTGCTAGGATATGTGACTGGAAAGACAGAGAGCTGAATGGACAAGGAGGTGGAAGACAATAAGAACTAGCTGGGATGGAGAGTGGGCAGGCAAGTCATGTGAATGAATGGGAAGGCAAGAATGTGCTCAGTCAGGCAGCACATGCATTAACCAGACATATCCTTGGTTCTCCTAAATTGGACTGAAGTTGCCTACTTTTTGTAGCATCCCAGGGCCAGCTCTCTTTGGAATAACCCTGGGGAGTTAGACTGCACTTCCAAAGGGCTCCATGTTGCTGCAGCTAGCTTGGGGTTGGGATGGATGGGGAGAGGCGTGAGATGTCAATGAATGCCCAGACCTGTCTCAGGGGACCTCTGCCCTTGGACATTCCACTTCTGCTTATCAGAAGGTCAGGCCAGGCTGGGTTGAAACCAGAGGGTGGAGCAACAGAGATTTGGCTCCTGCATTTTCTGGAAATTTATGGTCAGTTTGGGTTTCTTTACTCCTGACCTCAAACTTGGAGAGGGTAGGGAGACACACCAAAAGGCATTGCTTATCTGGATTTATTATTTTTCTTTGTTGCATTCTTTTGAACTTATTTTGTTTCGAATCATAAGGTATACCCCTTCTCAACTATAAAAACAAACCAAACACCTTGATTCTTTTTCTGGACATGTATATAACAGCTAGGAGGAGGAGGGGAGGAAACAGATGCTTAAGTGAGGGAAAACTGTAGAAGGGGGAAATAAACTAGATCAGACACTCTGAAGTCATTTTTTTTAATCCATAAGGCAATTATTTTAAAAGGGAGGGCAAATAAATTGAGAACAGATGTGGAGTGTGTGTACACCCATGTGTGTTTGAGGGAGATGAAGGATGGCCATAATTTATTTCTTACTTTCAAAAAATAATAGTTTTAGGAGCTTTTTGGTGCCTGAGAGGCTCTCAGCATATATTTCCCTGAATCTTAAATACATTTGTCATCCACAAAAGCCATTTTTTAAAAAACAAACCTGGTATTATTGGAAGGATGTTTTAAAATACCATCCTTTTATGAAACACACGTTCTTGGAGGCAGAGAAAATGAAGGCAGTAATGTAAAATAAACTGTTTTTCTTTGACTGTTTCTTCAAGAATATCACTGGAAAAACTTTTTGAAACTGCATGTTGGCTGGGCCTTGAAGACTGTCTTAAGCTGTCACGAGAACTCTTCAGAATGTGGATGAAACACCCAGAGAATGAGTAAGAGTAATATTGTAATTCCCCTTGTTTTTGTCCATTTTAGTACCAAAGTTTCTCTACCTTTTTGATGCTCTAACTGTGGGAGTGATCATTTTGCTTTCACTTGGTTAATCTCTCTCTCCTGCTATTCTTTTCAAATATCTTTTCTTTAAAGAAAACAATTGTCTAATGTAGGTCTGTGCATAACATTAGAAGGTAAGTATTTATACAATGGATTGTCACCCAGGACCTCTCATTGCCAATACATTCTCCCAATAAGCACTTAACTTTGAACTCTCTATGCACGTTTGGAGTCTTCATAGGTTGTTGTTTACGAGTGTGTATTTTTGCTGCATCTATGAGCACATCAGAGCATCTCTCTGTCTCTCTCTGAGCTTGCAGTCTCACTGAGAGCTGAGACTATGACTCTGTCATTTTGGTTTTATTACCTCTAATATTCCACCTCAGACGGACTCCTAGGAAACATGATAATGAGATACAAGAACAAACTACATGATCAACGTACACTGCACTATTCTAACTTCTCTCCTAAAACGCCTTAGTTTCTAAGCTAATTTGCTGATCTCTTCTCAGGGTGTTAATGCTAATGACAGTTCCCACAATTGCCTCTCCAGAACCTTTTATATTTGAGATCTCAAATATTTTTTCTAGATTTATATGTCTAAATATATGACAACCTGGATAAACATATAACTTAACTGCTATGAAAAATATCATTGCATGTTATACTTTACAGAATACCTTATCCAATTAAAAGTGTAATTTTATGTTATGGCATTGCCTTGGGAAGTGATAAAGAATGGGACTTTTTGTTAAATATCTACACTAATAAAACAGAGGAAGAAGAAAGGATTCAACTTGCTCATGCAATGAGTTGCAGTAAAGATCCATGGATACTTAACAGGTGAATATGGTCAACTTACCTTGAAAGTTCCTGGTGGAGAAATGCAATTAATAAACTAAAGTGAGAAAAATAGAAATGTGCTAATATAAGAAATAAACAGCATATTTTTGTATTACTGACTTAGAACATGGGATTTTAATTCTGTTTCTTTAAATTAACTCCATATATTGGAATTTTTTCCTTATTTACTTTTTGCAAATGCACTTTTGCAGATATATGGAGTATGCCATCACTAAATCTCCATACACTTTTGATGAAACAAATGTAGTTGAAACTGTGGCAGCATCTGAAGTTGGCCGGTACATTGCAAAGGACTTTTTAGTCAGCAATTGGCAAGCTGTGAGTAAAAGGTAAGAAGGAAACTGAGACCTCTTTTGTTTAGGTCACTGGTTTGGTGCTAGAAGCTCAGCTTTAGTCTGGCTGAGTCTTACTCGTAAAAGTCCTTAGCACTGACTGAAAAAAAGATGTCTGCATTTAGTCTTACCACAAACTGGCTGTGGAACAGAAAGTCACTTACCCTCAGTTTTGGCTTTCTGTACAAAAATGGATTTCCATTGGAAACTTATCTAACTCGTTATGTCCATTGTGTCCACTAAAAAGCTTATCTTAAGAGACACAGATTAGAGCAAGTTGTATTTTTTGGTATGAGTGTATGTCATTCATTTATTTATTTTGTGAAGTACATCACAATATCTTTAAGAGACAACAGTGCTCATTACTACATTGGCCTGGATGTTGCTAATGTCTTTTATTTATCAGATTCCTTTTATATATCCAGATTCTATATTTTTGAACTTTTTATATTTCTTGCCTTTTAAGATTAAATCTCCTTGCTTCCTAGTTCTCCTTTTGGGTTAAATATACATTGACATGCAAAAATCAGACATCATGCCCTTGATGGCTGGTCTTTCTAGAACATTACCTAACCATACATCTTAAAAGCCCAGTATTAATATGTCCTATACAATCATACATAATCCTACTCACATACTGTACATTTAGCAGATACTAAGTACTGACAGGTTAGTTCCAAACACCTGAAACACTTGAAAACACCTGAACAGTCGGAAGATAAGTTTCGTGAATAAGTTTATCCCTTTGGAACAAAAAGTATATGTAGAATATAAATGTTTAAAAATATAGATATGGTTTTCTTATACAGAAAATAGTGGATTATTTTTCTTTTGTAAACATTAATTGAATATCTTTACAACACCAAAACATGTGTTTTTAAATCAGAAATTTCATGTGTGGGGCCGGCCCGTGGCTCAATCGGGAGAGTGCGGTGCTGATAACACCAAGGCCCCGGGTTCGGATCCCATATAGGGATGGCCGGTTAGCTCACTTGGGAGAGTGTGGTGCTGACAACACCAAGTCAAGGGTTAAGATCCCCTTACCAGTCATCTTTTAAAAAAAAAAAAAAAGAAATTTAACGTGTGGATGAAAGCTCCTTTATACTGTACCATTTGTCGGGCTCATCAGTGGAACACACATCACATACACCCACACAATGAGAATATTGCCCTTATCTCCTGTTTTAAATTATCTATTATTCTTGGTTCATATATAGAGGGCCTATAAATTTTTTACATTTTATGGAATCCCTAAGACCTTGGGGATAAATTATGTCTTCCATTTTGTTTAAGTCATTAAAGATAATCCCCTCTTTTCTAAGCCCTACCTCCCACTGGGAATTTGGAAGTTGAGTTTTAAATCAGAATTATTTTCACAGGTCCCCTTATTTCATGAAGTTTCGGAGACTCACACCTCACAGGATTGTCCATCAGTTTCTCTTCTTTCTCCCTGGAGCTTGCAACAAAAGCTCTGTCCCCATGCCCACTCTAGGCCTACCATATCTGGCTTTGCCTGTTCTGTGACGCTGTCAGCCCACCCGAGGTCACTGATTGTTTTCTTCAGAGCCTCCTGCTGACCTTTCTAGTAGCAATTTTTTAATTATAATGTTGAGAGAACAATGCCTTTAAGAAATATGCCATGATTTGCCTGAGGATCCAACTGGTTATCACCACAGGCTGACACATTCTCCACTCCTTCCGAAGCACTGCTGGGCCCTGAGCAAGACACAGATTTACAGTTACTTCCCAGACCTAATATTTAGTAGTGCCTGGCACTTGGTATGTGTTGTGAGGTGCTTGCACCGAGGAATCCAAGACCAACGTTGGTTTTATAGCTCTTTTAATAGTTGACAGCTCTTTTTGGTGTGACAGCTCTTTTTGATGTTACAGTGCTTCATTGCTTGCAAGCAAGGAGAGCACAAGCATTAGGCTCGTGTCTCCCCAAATGAGGGAAAAGGCCCGCCTTATATACCCAAAAACTTCCCACCCAAGTTCTCATTTAGGTCCTCTTACGCAAATGAGGGATGCAAGTCTGTTAGTACAGATTGATTGGATATGAGACATAGCTCATTGGTCAGTTCTGGAGCCTAATTTGCATGGGTTCAGGAAGCAAGCTAGGTTACAGAAGCTAAAGTTCATGATTAAGACAATCAAGCATAAAATTTCTTAAACAGTTTCTCCAGCAGAAGGGGGCAGATTTAACAGTCAGAAAATGTTTAGGGTTCCCCACTACAGTATGCATTTCTAAGTATTAGAATTGTACATATTGGTGTTGTGGTTCAAAGTGAAGTGATGCCTGTCAGCCCCAGACTGTGTCCACACTCAGACAGGTGGGCCTGAGCACAAATCAGAAACTTCCAAATTTAATAGCAGTTTGGAATCATCTGGAGTGGTTAGTAAACATAAAGATTTCCAAGCCCATCTATCCCTTTAAAATCAGAATCTTTTAGAATAGGGCAGGAAATCTATACATTTCACTAGCTCCTCAGGTGATTTTGATACAGTTTAACATGGAATCAGTTGACAGTGTATTTATATAAGGCTGCATTGCCCAATATGATAGCCACTAACTAACATGTGAATATTTAAATTTACATTAATTAAAATGAAGTAAATTTTAAAATTCAGTTCCTCAGTTGCACTATCCCTGTTTTAAGTGCTCAGCGTGGCCAGTGGTTACCATATTGGACAGCACAGATACAAAACATTCCCATCACTGGACAGCACTGATCTAAGGGGTAAACCAGCTCCTCAAGTCACTTTTTTCTCTCTTCTTATATCACACACAGTGCATATGCAAATTAAAACCCCAAAATGGCTCTAAGCAACCCATGGAATCCCAAAGTAAATATATGGTGTCACCTGAGACACATATTTAGCATTATTGCTGGACAGCTGCATTCCTTATATTGACACCTCTTCAGCTACTAAAAGTCACTAGACTCAAAAATAAATGACAAGGGCATGTTTCTAATTAAATAGATATCTCACTTAAAAATTAGGGGATGATTGGTTCATTCATTGTGATAAATGTATCATTGTAATGTGAACCATAGGAGAAACTGGATATGGGAATTTTTTCTAATATTCCTGCAACTTTTCTGTAAAATCTAAAATATTCTACAATGAAAAGTTCATTTTTTAAAAATTAGAGGATGCACTGCATCTGAGCCCTGTAACATGGGTGTTACAATGGCAGCAATCAATCTAGATTTAAATGACTTTAAGTGTATTTTAATTTTTATTCCTCAGAAGAATTTTTTTCCTGTATTTAGAGAACAGGAAAATGTTGACAACATTCTACCAAGGATTAAATTCCACTTTCTGAAAAGTCCATTGTCTAATAATTTATTTAAATGATCTATGTAGCTGTATTAAATAAGAGTTTACAAAGAATTCCTTTTTCTTTTTCACTCTAAATGGGACTTATCATTATTCCCAAGAAATTCCTAGAACTATAAATGCATAAAATTTTAATCATGGCTTGAATATTTTTTATCTTTTGGTCACCAAATTTCATACTCATAAAAATAGATATCTATTCTATTTATGGTACATTTATTTTAGTTCTCTCTTCTTGCACAAAACATCTTTCAGACGCAAATAAATTTGCTTTTGACATCTAATACATTAGTTTTTGGTGTTTGGTGCTGGCCAGGTAGCTCAGTTGGTTAGCTGGTTAGAGCACAGCCTTATAACACCAAGGTCATGGGTTTGGATCTCCTCAGCAGCCAGCCACCAAAAAAAAAAAAGGTGAAAAAAAAGTTAGTGTTTAATTTATATTCAGCAGTCTTGTTCAATTTTGCTAATGGTTTTGTTTGAATAGACAGTAATATTATTTATGGATTGTTAGAAGGAAATAAATGTTCACTTTTATAATTAAAATAGATACACTCAAAATGGCACGAGAATATTTACATAGTTCTTTGAACATCAGAATATTTAATTATCACTTATTAAACAGTTATATTTGACACGAGTGTTTGTTTTTTGATCGTTTATTTTTGGTGGTTACCCGTTATGGGGATCTGAACCCTTGACCTTGGTGTTACAACTCTACGCTCTAACCAAGTGAGCTACCAGCCAGCCTGGACATGAGTATTTATATGTCACCAGTCTTCCTGTAGTGATAGATAGTATGAAAATATAAGTAAAAAATGCTTATGCCAAATTAAGTTCTATATTAACTATGTAAAATTTATACTGAATTTGCTAAAATGGGACTGATCACTAAAAAGTCAGCACTTAAATTAGGTTTCTCAAGTGTGTCCTACTGAATGTCACTCATGGAAGATACAGATAAGCCTTCTGTGAACTAGGGAGACAACAGCCCCATCAGTTTTGAAACTGTTTTAACCCTCACTTTTGCAAACTCATGGTGTATTTTAGCATCATGAAGTCTCCAGGAAGCCCTGTAGAAAGAAACCTAGAGTTTTCCACACACGTTGACTACTTACTATCTTGTAGGTACAGTCCTCAACTCCAGCTGGCGATATGCTAATGTGCACAAAGTACCATTTTGCCATAGACCAGCTGTTCCAGGAGAAAGACAGGTGAGAGGAACAAAATTTTCCAATCCTCTCATCTGGAGCTGGAATTAAAATAACATCTATTTATTGTTTGCCTATTAGTTAACATTTAGGCTTTGGTTTCTTCTATAAAATAACAGATGTGCTATTTGATAAATTCTAATTTTCTTTCTAGTAATAAAGTTTTAGTTTTTCTGTGTCAAGGTACAGTTGAAGCTGTTGTTGGAGGTGTATAGTGATTAGGACATGGTGTCTGATAAATGCTATAGAGAAGGGATGGCAAGGGCTTTGGGAATTTAGAGGGAAGAAAGGGATTTAAGCATGATTTGAACAGGTAGAGTTGGTAAACGCCTCCTTCTGAGTGGAGGACAGGACTCCAGAAAATGCCTGGACGCAAGACTGGGAGACTGTCGTGAATTCTGATTCCGAAGAGGGATCCTCCACTCGCCATAAAGACAATTTTCAGGTTACAGAAAAGTCGATATGTGCATGCATCTATGGATAAACCCCATGACAGGATGAGAATAGGAATGAAGCAATAGTATTTTTTGTGCCTTTTTATTGTATGTGGTAGGAAACAGTATTTGTACCCTTATCATTCTTGTTAATTGGGCTTCACAGTCTACAGGAAAACCCTGGTTTTATTTGAATATAGAGCACAAGGCATGATCAGTCTCAAACTCAACTTGTCCAAGGTTATTCTTCCTCTCTTCTTCACTAAACACTTGATTTCTTCTCCAAATATTGTTATACTGCCTGAAGTCCTAAGCTTGAACACTTGGACTCATTTTCATTTCCACTCTGTTGTATTTCATGGTTAGGCAACACAGAGTTGAAAAGGTTAAATAGGCACACAAACAAACTGAGATGTCGTCAAGGTGGGACCCCCAGGCCCCTGCTCCCATGCCTGGCCCTGGATCAGGCTGGATGTCTTGGTGCCCCCGTGCTTGCCACAGGGAATCAGACCTGGCAGTGGAGAGGAGGAGAAGGGAGGGGAAATGTGACCAAGGGGAGAGCAGAAAGGCAAGCCAACTAGAGTACCCAAATCACGGTGCCCACACTAGTACTGAATGTTATAAATTTTTAAAAAGGATCACTATATCAGCACCCATTGGCTCTTGTCTTTATATTAATGGGAATGTGTGTGAATACTGGTGGGGATAAACTATTTATAATGCACATATTTTTGTTCAGTAATATTGCAAAGAGTATTTTGTTTAGTAATATTTCAAAATATCTCTCAGCAAGAGGGATAAACCATTTCTGTCTCAAAAATAACACACCCCCCCCCTTGAAATTGACAAGAACAGGAAGGAATGAAGTGTGCCAGGTACTCTCATAGGTGCTTCCACATACATTATCCCATTGAATCCCCAGAACAATGCTTCTAAGTACATGTTATTCCCCATTTTTGCAATTTATAAGTTGTCCAAAGGTCAAACCCAGCCCTGCCTCTTGGGGTAAACTTTCCCTAGTAGCTGCTAGAAAATCAAACATTAGAACCCTAGGTAGCTTTCCTCTGTTTTCTCCTTTTCTTTTTAAGGTTAGAACTTGGTCTCTTTGAAACTGAAATTTCCTGAGTTATTCATCTCACAGGCTTTTTCTACCTGGTCAATTAAAATGGAGAGCTAAGAAATATTTCCTCTTCCTGCAAAGAAACAGCTTTGCTTGTCTGAATTATATGCAGACTATCTCTTGTCTTCCTCTTTGCTCAAGCACACATGACTTAAGTTACAGCTGGGAGATTAAAAAAAAAAAAGAACTATTTTTTTGGTTTAACTTCTCAATATACATTGTAGTTGATTTTCATGTCCCTTTACCTATTCCTTTTTCCCCCTCCCTCTCTCCCCGCCCCCTCCCCTACTTCATATCTGTTCACTTGTCTTAACAAGTTCAACGAATTGTGATTGTTGTGTCTTCTCCTTCTCCCCACCCTTATTTGTTTGTATACTTATTTATTTTTAGCTCCCACAAATAAGTGAGAACATGTGGTATTTCAAAAGCACTATTTTCTATCACCGTTATTTGTATATTATGCCAAAGTTAGCTCTTATAATTTTTAATTTCAAGTATACAGTTTTGAAATAAATCAATTGTGTATATTAACTATCAAGGCAGTTCAACCACTTCTTGTTCAGTTTATTATAATAACCTGCTTCAATTTTTCTTTCTTTCTTAATGCATCCAAAAGTCCTTTACTTTTTTAACTACAGCAGTGCTTTGGGCAGGTATGTATCAGCTGTTTTTCCATAACAACACTTCATGGCCTTATTTAGATGGATCTCATTGAATATTCAAGGACACCATGCAAAAGGGGAAGTTTTGATTACCATGTCTGTTGGAGGGAGCTCAAGTGGAGCCATGGTACTTAGCCTTCAGTGATCACCAACATTTTGAACATTTTGAAAATATCAGCAGATATCCTCTCTCTAAAAAGCATGCACAAATACAAAATTTTAAATACACGTTTAGGGAGTTTTAGTCAGCAGTTCAGAAACTGATCCTGTATTAATTATTGTTTTTTAAGAGGCATAATTATCATATTTATGTATTCCCTTATAAATGTTCTTACTTTGAGAAATGAGACATGTACTCTGACTACCTCATTTAAAAAGATAAGCATGGTTGTTGTTTTCAAGAAGAGCTTTTTATATTTAAATAAAACTTAAAACTATGTGTTACACATATCAATATTTAACTATAATTTTTTCTTCAGTGTTAATAAAATGTAATATATAATAGATTTTCTATTAAAAGATGAAGCTAAACCAGTTCGTGCATGTTTTTGCTTAGAATTGAGAGATAATTAGTAGGGGCTGTTTACTAAGCATTTATCTGCTGCATAAAATACAGATTTATCTCACAAAACACTTTCCACCCCTGACGGGCATCTTATTGCTTTGTAGGTATGGAACACAATCATTGGTTACTCTAGTGTATATAATAGGGAGAACCATAAATACAGATTTACAGATCATGGAGGTAAGTAATTTAAGTATTGTAAAATATCATGATAATTTGGAAAACACTTTTTATGCTTCCACTGGTTCTATAATCTCTCTGAAGTGTTTTTTAACTATATCCTGCCCCTGAAATAGAGACCATCTGTTCGTGGAGGGTGGGGCTTCAGCCTTTCTCACCTGAATTACTGCAGTAGACATTGGGCTGCCTGTCCCAGGCTAGTCTTCCTTCCACCCCATCCTTCACATTGCTGCCAATCATTGCCCTGCTGCCAAAGCTTCAATAGCTCTCGGTAGTTTTTTTTTTTTTTTTTTTTTTT